GTCGGCAAACTTGCTGAGGGTGCACTCAAACAGGTGTTTTTAACATGTAGGAGGCTTCTCTGAAAAAACCTCTCAGAACTTGATCTCTTTGAATGTTCAGCCAACCCATTACACTTAGCATCTTTCTTAGCTGTGTACTGATATCAGCAAGATCAGTTAGTAGTAGCAAATATAAAGCATGTAGACACTCTAAACCAATGATATCGCAGACTGAAGTCAGAGAAATGAGCTTTCAGGCACTACGTTCTAGAAGATCTGCACGTTGCACACAACATTTTTCTTTTGAGACATTAATCACAAAAAGAGTGCAATTTTAACAGATAAATTTCTGGCCTCAACAGCAAACAGAACCCTCAAAAAGTAAATTTTCATCTGTATGTCTGCCAAAGTGAAAAAACAGGACAGATTTAAATTAAGATCTGGCACTTGATACTTGAATATTTTTTGTCTGAAACTAGAATCTGTGCATTGCAATAGCTCCTTAATTGGTTCAAAAAATGCCTACCAGTCTTAATGAACAATGCTTGTACACGCAGCACAGCTAAAATCATGCAAAATCTGTTAGAGTAAGACATAAGCCTGGATGAATATTCAGTTAAAAATACACATTTTTCAGATCAGAAAACTTATACTTTTTAAAACAACGTTAGAGCAGCTACACTAATATTCACACCATTATTTTGCTTATGTATATATAAATATATATTATCCTTTCCTTTAAAGTACAATATGAAGCCAGTCAGGTTTTTCTCTCAATAAAATGTACTCTTCACTTCTATCTAAAAGTAAGACTAGGTGTGAAACAGCCTCAGACTGGCCAGACTTTAACAGATCCTCTGTTCTGGGGACTCAGACAGTCTAAGCATAAGAAAGCCATAAGTGAGTTTCAAACTGCAAATAAAAAGTTTAAATTTGCTCCACAGTCAAAAATCACACCTATTAAATCATAATGACATTTCTTGTTTCAAGTTGTGCCCATTCAGTTGTGTCATGCTAGTCACTGTGTTCCTGGTATTGCTTTTCAGGGAAGTCATCTGAATGGCAGAAGAGTTGCGCAAGTAGCTGGCAGATCTCTCTTGCTGAGCCTTCCTCCTGCAGCGAAGCTGGTTGTTGAAATGTCTTCTAAAACTCTCACTGAGAAAATACAGTGCAAATGGGTTGACACAAGAGTTGCAGAAGCTTAGCACTCTGGCCACTAAGGTAACAACCATATGTCCTGTCGATGGATCAATCTCATTGTAATTAAAAGATCGGTACATGTATAGCACATGGTTAGGAAACCAACAGATAGCAAAGAAGCCAACAAAAACTAGAACAATTTTGGCCAGACGTTTCCGAGTTTCCATCTAAAAAGATGAAGAGAACCCAAATGAACAACAACAAATAGAACTATTACACATGACAGAATTAAAACACGCAGTGTTTTGCTTTATAGTAGCTTTACAACTGTTATAAGTAAGGCCAGTAAAAATGTTTCCTTCACAGACTAAATTACTTTTTTTATCTCATTCCGTTTCCTTTCCCACTTTCAGTTTACTTTCAGTGAAAGATCCTGGCTGTTTGCAGCTGCAGAAGTTTGCTCTTTCTACATGAAATATGCAGCAAAAGTGATTCATGACCCAAGTAAACATTGGCTTTTAGTCTGAAAGCACACACCAAAGGATGCCTTGAAACATAACTTTTTTCTGAGGAGATCTCAGTGCTTGGCCTGAAAGCTAGCTTTAGTTAAAAAGCTATTTAGGAATAATTTTCCTTAAAACCTAGAGACATTGTGAGTCAAATGTAGAAACATTGCTAGGGCATTAGCTATACAATGGTAATCACATCCCATTATTTTGCCTGAAATGCCTCAGCTTGCACCTCTCTCCTAGACAAACCACCAAAATTGCATTGCACAGTCTGAAGCACCTTAATTCCAGGGTAAGGTGAAAGGTTCATTTAATCTTCAACAATGACATGAAATAAATGTACCTTAATTGCAGTGCTAAAGTATAATTGGATTAGAACGTAGGTATTGAGAGTGGCTGAAAAGTTGACAGGATATGAGCCTACACAGTGGTTCCAAACTCAGAGAGGGAGGGAAACTGGACAGGTAGGAGGCACCAAAAGGAAGGCAGAAAGTTTCTACATCTTCGTCCCAAAAGATTTACTATGTATGTCAAGTACCAAAATTTTGCAGAGGGAAGAAAATTTTCTGGCTTTGCCCAATTTTTTTATCAATTTTAACTTGCAAAATTCAAGTGGATTTGTTCTAACAGGGTTTCAAAATCTGAGAAATAAATCTGTAGTTTTCTTGGCTCTGTCTAAACAAAAACCAGTGGGGAATTCACAAAAGATGGGAAAACTCTACATTTCCTATTTGGTAGGATTTGCATTCAGAGAAATTGCAAAGGTAGACTAAAAGATCAGAGGTATAGAGTGAATGTAATACTTCTGTGCTATAGCCCAAAGAAATGTGAGTTGATAGCAATAGTATGAATTTACTTCCTCTTGCTAGGAGATATGTAAGTACACCGTAATTTTCTATTCTTCTGAGCCTCATAGATTAACAACAAAAAAAAGTGTAATGAAAAAAGTGTTCTTACTTTGAAAATACATGTGGGTTCAGAAATGTTATATAAATTAAATATTGTTTCCATCCTGAGGGTTCAGCCAAAAGGCTCTCTATATTTCACAGGAAAATAAAATAACACATGAAGTGCTAATATGTATGCATGAAAATGACAAGAAACAGGCTGGAGTAGAAATGAAATGCTGAGCAAAAAGGACATGAGGGAATGTGGTCTTTCTTTTTAAAAGAATATGAACATGCTATATATGCAAAGATATTTCAGTGAGTATAAAAGTATTTTCTAAAATATTGACAGAGAAAATTCTTCCAAATTGTTTTAAAGGACATAAGAATTTTCTCTATCAATATTAACGTTTTTGTAAAGTGGTTGAGGTACTTTCACTGCAAAAGCTATTGTTCATATATTTAAAATTTTCCTGCTAATGAACAGCCTGTTGCTATCTTACTGTCTCCAGTGCCTTACAGGGAAGCTGGCTTTGTCCAGCATTTCAAAATGCTTTGTCTCATAGGTATACAGAACCTATGCTGAAAGTTTTATAGCACCTGTAATAGAAAGGATATTAGAAAAGTGCAAGTTCAGGATTGTATCCAAGAAAGATCTAGTGAGAAAGACAAAAACCTATCAGTTCGTGCTCTCTGTTCGTATTTTCAGCACTCCATGGTCTGAGAGGAACCTTAGTTGCCCTAAAAAAAATTTTCCCTGCCTATGTCAGTTTTTTTCCATTTCCAAGCACAAATAAAACAGAGAGAATTCTCAAAAAGTCCGTCTAAGATTTCTTCCCAAATGGCTGCCTATAGAGACAGGTGAAGCCACTAGCATTAACTACAAAAACATTGTTCCACAGTAAGAACACAAGTAATGGTTGCACTAACACATGCAAACACTATTTCTTGTTAGGAATATGCACTGATGGCATTACATCTATAGTTTTCCTTGCTCATATCCACTTACATACTGGGATTAATACTGAGTAATTTTGAAAACAAGATTTTTCAGATAATCCTTGGCTTAGTCCGTGCATGTGGAAACTGAACTAATCCTCTGTGAAATCCAACATTTTGGATGTTACAGTTCCTATACTTTCATTTATAAGTGTATACTGCATGCAAATCCTTTATCAGGATGTAAAAAGCAAATTGCTTACCTGTCTTTTGGAATGCTCACTGTATTCTCCAGGGATATTGTGAGCACTTTTTATTAAACTCTTTGCAATATGATAGTAGTAGATACTAATAATAGCAAGAGGGATAAGGAAATACACAAGGAAAATCAGGACAGAATGGATCTTCGGGTGCATATCATCCGTCATGGGGTATGGTATGCATGCTGTGAAAGTGACATTACTCGTGTCATTGATGTGGGCCAGTTCAGAGAACACCACTTCAGGAACTGCCAGGAGCATGGAGATTAACCAGATAGCTACAGCTTTAACGCAGGTCCATAGCACTGCACTGGAGGTCTGGATGTCCATGGGATTTACAATTGCTTTGTACCTGAAATTGATAAAAATGGACATGTAAATTAAAAGGTATCTTTTCAAATTCCACATGGGATTCATAAGGTCACTTCATAGCTTTGATAAAAATAACATCATATTTGTTTCTTATTTGAAATGTCAACAGGTCTGTAATCTTTCTTAAATTTTCATGCACTAAATCTCTAGCTTCATCTGCATCTATACCTACCACTGGCAGCAAAAGGAGCCTTAGATACAACCTGTGGCTCTAGGTGCCTATTCTGTGCCAGCCTGGTGAAAGCACAGAAGTAGCCACGACTCAACTCTTTCTTTTCCCAAATCCTCCCAGCAAATCCACAAATGCACATCCTACCTCCATACTTCTCATATCAGCATGTGAGCACTGGAGTTTGTTTCCTTCCTCAGCTCCCACAGCCCAGGACTCCCTCCTGCCCATCACCACAGCGTTCCCACTCTCAGACTCTGCCAGCCCCCTGGGAGCACAAACACTTCTTGCCAGACGAGAAACAGCCGCTGCTGTGGAGGTCTTGCTTTTCTACCCCAGCACCTCTCTGCACACAGATACACTGTCCCCGCTGTAATGCCCAGAACATAGGCATCTTCATAAAGTCAGGCAGGAATGGCTCCCAACAGCCTGTGCAGGAGTATTAAACATTTCCACATCAATAGTTGGAAGCTGCTGCTCTATACTGGGTTTTGGGAAACTGTCTCATAATATATGATTACATATAAAACTTTCCAGAATTGATAATTTCACAACCATTACAATGAAAACAGGAAGAAATGCAGAGAATGGAAATATTACACTACAGCAAAGGAAAATAAATTAATAGAAGTAGACTCTGGACAGGAATTTTTTTATTAAAAATAAAACAGTTGCAGTAGGTGATACAAGGTTAAATTTTCCCCTAGAGAAGGTCAGTTTTAAAAGGCCAAATATACTTTGAGAAAAATATTTCAAGGATATCTGAATGTTTTGCTTAGATTTCCAATTTATTTTGAAAATTTTTGTTTCAAAATGTAAGTAAATTACGTTTTAATGTTTTTATTAAAAACTGAACATTAAACAAAACATTTCAGTTTGTCTAAGCTGTGGTAATTTAGAAGGTTGATTCATCTGATGGGGCTTTTTTTTTTTTTGCTTCTTCATTTTTGTTTTCTAGTTTTCATTTGATTTGGGATGGGTAGCCTTTCTTCTGAAATTACAGAATTTTTGAGAAATGGAAAAAAGATTTTTCTTTAATATCTAAATAAATGTTTAACTATACAATGAGCTTAGAGTGAGAAGAACTGTAACCTAGATGTCTCTACTTCCTGACAGGTACTTCATAGCCCCTCAACAACTTAAGCAGGTGTTTGAGGAACTGCAGATAAAAGCCATACCTCTATGCAGCAACTTATGAGTTTGCTGGCAACCAACAGTGCAATTGGCTGTGCCATGAAAACATCTGGAGTACAGCACTGTCATGTACCCTGGCAAAACTTTTCTTCAGAGAATATTTAACTCAAAATGTGTCTTGGAGTCTGTGATAAATTGTCTTATCACTAAATAATTAAAAATAATGGCTATTTCTGTTCATATCCTCTCTGAATTCCGAGAGGATTTTTACTGCATCTTCACCCATATCACGAAGCGGAAAACAAAACTCAGTAAACTGCCTCTGTTAATCTATGCTTATCATTTCTTCTAACATGCATTGAGAAAGTCCCTGGACACCAAGGTGTGAAGAAATCCTTCATACTGCCACAGGAAGGGTAGAAGCTTCTGCACAAAGCTTAATGCTCACCAGCACAAACTGTGACCTTATTATTCAATAATTTGCTTCCTATTGCTGTCTGCCTTGATTTCATTACATAAAGACAGACCTTCTATCTAATTTCATACAACCGAGGTAACAGTTACATCTGCTCATTTCTTTAAAACTTTAAGTTGCTGGGAAAGAGCAGGTTTGGGGACTTTGCAAGGTTGGAGAAAGGCATTGGATAAAAAATAATGTTTTGCACTGCAGATTTTTTTTCCTCCCTTTTTCCATTGCAGTGCTTCAAACTGTTTTGACCACAGCCCTGTGACCCAACAACGACCATGTCACAATTCAATGTTTTAGTAGCATTTGGTCTGGTTAATATCTAAATGGGGAGATCTTTTCAGAAACAGAAGATGTGGCATATATTTGTGCCTTGGCATATGTTGCTGTTTCAGCAAATAGCATGCTTTCCCCTGAGCTACAACTGACTCCAAGTTGGAAGGCATTGGAGCAAAGTGCCTCTTTTCACAAAAACAGCTGGGTTCAGCCCAAAAAACTTCTTCTTTAATCCTATCAAAATTCTACTTGCTACTTCAGCTGACTACAAGCTGGCATGCTTCTTCCTAGGACTCAGCCCTGCACAGTACTTAGTGTCAATGGGAAGGAAAAGTCATTAAGTGCTTTACAAAATGTGTCATCTTGTTCAAATCTCTGAAAAGATATAGAGTAAAAAGAGACAGGTTACAGATAAAATCAAATGTAAACTGAGTGAAATTGCAAGTGTTCCCAAAACGAACAGCCAGCCTCTTCCTTTGTATAAAATCACTGTAAGGCTAAGAACATACCACCAACCATTCAAATTACTAAGTGCATATTTTCTATCAGTAAAATGACACTGGTGAATTAGAGTAAGGGTGTAAATTATTTAGTCAAATTAGTAAGCAAAATCCATCTTTTCCTTTACTTCACTGATTAAAAAAGAAAATTATAGGCTGCCATGAAGTTCAGGAAATAATTATAAATATGCATTTTGTTTTAATTAAAAGCCTTAATGTAAATTCTGTCTTCCTACATCCTCTATCATTATCACTGTTGACAGAGGCATCCCAACTCAGGAAATACTTTTATAATAAGTTTCCTTTCTTTGGAGCTATGGTTTCTGCCAACCAACACAAGCACAAACTTGCCCGTTCTACAGATATTTGTTTTGTTTATATAGCATATTTTCATTATAAAGCAATCTCCTCCCTTCTACATAACCCAAAAAATTGATGAAAAAAAGAATATCCTCTTCTTCCGGAGTTGTAACATGTTGCTACCTTCTAAATTCCAGTGTAGCTTATCTACTTCTCCCCATCTTTGTTTTCAAAGGCCTTCATAAACATATTTCACAGCTCACAATTAGAATGGAAAGCCCTACTCCTGTCTCTGCTGCATCCCTAATACTATTCCCCTCCCACACACTGGACTTCAAAAGAAGCTGCTCCAGTATTAGTTCTAAGCCATCTCTCCACTGCAGTGCTACCTCTTTTTCTAGAGTATTATGTTGTGATGACCTTCAAAAACAAATTAAAAAGAAAAACTAAACCAACTAGACAATACTTAGGCAGCCACTGAACTATGATTACAGCTTACCATTTTAAGCAGAATTGCCTTAATATTTCCTTGCCCTTTTGTTTCTGTATCTTCTGTTGTCTCTACTTAAAAACTGTATCTTTAGATCAAGGACTTTCTTCTTGTTCCTGTTCATGTAGCACCTACCACAAATAGGACCCTAATTTATCACCTAGTTTCGTACATGCCATCACAATACAAATAAATTAATATAATAATGAAGTGTCATAAACTAAGCAGAGACCTAATTCAGGCAGGGCAGATCCATACTACTTTGATTTAATGTGCATTTTAATCCTGGAGCTGGAGGTGTTGGTATCATTGGTATTATTCAAAAGCTTCTGGTTTAAGTTATGTTGCTGTGTCATAGTACTGCATTTCCTGCAAACTATAGTAATTTATAAAAAACATTTATGTATTAGCATTTGATTGTGTCATAGCATTAAGATTTCAAACACAAAAATACAACATTTAGCCTAAAAATATAAAAGGATTTAAAACTATTTGAATAGGAATCATGGCTGTATTGTCAATATTTGTTAAAAATACAAACACCATGTCCAGTTGTAGTCCACTCCACTAAAGTAGAATGAAATTTTGGATGCGACCAAATCCCTTTTCCTTTTATTTAGTTCTGTTGACTCAACTCTAGTTGAGAAGCAGAGAAAATTTATCTAGCTGAGAATAATGTGGAATAATTTGATGTCCACTGTTGTGGGAACTTCTTTCACAATATACAAACAGTATCAGATTTGCATTTGTTCTATTCTTTTCTTATAAATTCTTGCAATTTAAAGTAGATTTATTACTTTTTTAATAGTTAGTCCCATCACTTTTGTTCTGTGCTTATCTCTTAAGTGCAGAGAATTGCATTCACCAGGAATGAGCATCTCAGAGGTCTGATAGTTAAATATAATGAACAGTATTTGAAATTCAGACTAGAGGACCATGTGTAAACACAATTAAAATTAATGTAAATGGCATGTGTTCTATGTTTCTCAGGGGGAAAATCCTAAGATTTTCCCAAGTAGAAAAAGTTTTCCACTCTATAGAAATACACTCTGTTGAGCCAAAAACTGTCAATAATGCTTCAACAAAAAAAGTCAGATTTAGTCTTCTGGATGATGATTTCTCCACTTTGAAAAGAATCAAAACATAAGTTTCCCAGGATGAATTTTTTTCCCCACATGAAATATATTATTTGTCCTGCCCACCCAGTGTCTCAAAGGAGATATTTTATCTTTCCTTTTCATTTTTAACTCTCTTGCTACTTCTTTGTCTTGCCATTCACCTCACATTAGCTAGCTATATTTCTTACAAGTTCATACAAATCTTGCAATGCTATTTCACTGCCTGAAATCTGGCTTTTTAGTTCTACTTGTCTAAGTCCATTTACTTATAGCTACACTAGTTAAAAGTACCATCAGCAATTTGTTCAATTTGCCTCCTGAGAGCAGTAGTAGCAAATTGTTTCATTGGTTATTATTCAGAGAATTTCATATATGTCAGTATTCCCAGTAGATACATATTTAAGTTTGATAATTCGAAGTCACTGATTAACATATTTTTACATATCTCAAGATACCCAAATATGTCTTCAGCAGAGTTGCAGTTTCCGTAAGCTTCTACTGTGAAAAAAAGGAGAGGAGAAGAG